TTTGAATGTAATAAATGAAAATGACAGCAATGCATCTCTATTTTAGCAAAATATGTACACAGTCTTGTATGACATTATTCAAAATTATGTTGGGCAAGTTGATAGTTTTCATGGAAAGTGAGTTATAAGTTTTACTGATTATGATGTAGTCCTCTGTTATTTTTTTTGCAGAACAAATTATTTTCTTTTTTTGTCCTTTTTTTTAGCTGTGTAATGAGATTTGCAATCAGAGTAAGTTCTCTACCATTTGAGGCATGCACAAAGTCATTTTAGCTTCAGCTTTTTTCAGATGTGATCTCCTATTTTTGCCTGGGCAAACATTAGACTGAAATCCTCTTACATATATTTCCATGTTTTGTGCATGTAACATGTTGTATGGCTTATTTGTTGAGGTGAAGTTTCATCTTGAAACATGAACCTCCAAATCTCAAGTTTGAGTAGCTGGGGTAACATATGTGAGACACACAAATTCCAGTGGACCATATGCTTCTACATATGCATGAGATGGATAAAAATTTTTTTTTGATGAGTGCCTGGATTGCCTTATTTCATTTCCAGGTAAACTGATCAGAGTGGACTTTGTGACTCAATCTTATAATGGTTAAAATAAGTGTGTTATTCTATTATATTGAGTATATATTTTCTTGCTTCTTTTGTTTATTGGAGAGGTAAGCATTGCATTTTCAGTTAAGGCTAAGTACCTTTATTGTAAGGCAGACATTGGCTAATTGGCAAATATTGAATGAAGAATATTACAGTGCATAATAGAAGTGATTTTAGATATCATTGTATAATTTGTAAACATTTCAGTTTATACACTTTTATATAGGAGAGGGTTTTTAAAAATATATAACATGAAAAAAGCTGGGCGTGGTGGCTCATGCCTGTAATTCTAGCTACTCAGGAGGCTGAGATCTGAGGATCACGGTTCAAAGCCAGCCCGGGCAGGAAAGTCTGGAGACTCTTATCTCCAATAAACCACTCAGAAAAACGCAAGTGGAGCTATGGCTCAAGAGGTAAAGTGCTGGCCATGAGCTGAAGAGCTGAGGGACAGCGCCCAGGCCCAGAGTTCAAGCCTCACAACCAACAAAAAATAAAAATAATGAAAAAACATGAAAAAATTCATAAAGAATATTGGCCCAATAAGAAATAGACTGTGCACATCTCCTAACTGGAATTATATTAAGAAAGACATCTGACCAACACTTCAATTTACAAATTCAAGATTATTCTACTTGTTCTACATGAGAACTGCCTACTTTATAAGTTGCACAAAGTTTCAGTTCCAAATGAAAATGTAAAAGGGTTTGCATTAACATAGTTTTTGTTTTTCTTTTTTTTTGTGGGTTGTAGGAATTGAACTCACAGTCTGGTCACTGTTCCTACCCTCTTTTTGCTCAAGGTTAGAACTCTACCACTTTGAGCCACAGCTCCACTTTTGGCTTTTGAGTGGTAATTGGATGTAAGTATTTCATAGGAGACTTTTCTTCCAGAGCTGGCTTCAAACCACATTGTTCAGATCTCAGCATCCTGAGAAGCTTGCATAACATGCATTATTATTATTAGTCAGTTGTGGGGTCTGAACTCTGGGCCTGGGCGCTGTCCCTCAGCTCAAGGCTAGCACTCTACTACTTGAACAATAGCACCACTTCTGGCTTTTTTCTGCTTAGGTGGTGCAGAGGAATCGAACCTTGGCAACATGCATGCAAGGCAAGCACTCTACCACTAAGCCACCATCCCAGCCCAACATGCATTATTTATACCCACTCTTATTGCTGCTAAAATGTGCTTTCCAAAATAAGAGTTATTTCCAAACTTAATTGTGCTTTTAGAACTTCCTTTGCTTTACTGGTCATAAGTGCAAGGAAGGCTCCCTTAGGGAGAATTTTAAGTGTAGGCAAACTTAACCATGTACAGAAACTTGAGATATGTAAGGTACACATCATGCTTTCTGCCTGAAATCTGTCCACAACTTATTTTTTGAAAATAATGAAAGGTGAACAAATGCAGCAGTGATACTCACTAGAGTATGTTGAAATTGAACTGTACAACTTGTGTGTGGGGGGGCGGGGAGGTATTTGTGGATAAAACCTGGGAGAAAACAAGGGAAGAGTTGACACTGTTCAAAAAGAAATGTACCCTTTACCTGACTTGTATAATTATAACACCTCTGTATAGCACTTTTACAATAAAAAGTAAATCATAAATAAGTGGACAGCTAAAATTAGTCATGAAATTAATGTCTCATTCCATAACTCTGAAATAAATATTTTAACAAAGTAAGTAATGTGGACATATATGTTTATATAGCTATATCTCCACACACATACATTTATACAAGTTTATAAATATTAAAAGCCAAATCAAGAAATCATAATTCTTTATAACAGATTGAGTACAGTTAAATCTAGTAATTAGTCTGCATGTTTGTGTGCCACTGAGACAAGATTACTAGAATCTTAGTCTAGTGGGTTTTTAAAAAATATAATACAATATTGAGCCACGTAAAGAATGTTGCTGGGCTGGGAAGGTGGCTCAGTGGTAGAGTGCTTGCCTTGCACTACATGAGGCCTTGAAGTGGTGCTGTGGCTCAAGTGGTAGGGCGCTAGCCCTGAGGTAAAGTGCTGAGGGACAGTGCCCATTCCCAGAGTTCAGCCCCACGACTGACCGTCCTCCCCCTGCCAAAAAAAAAAAATGTTGCGATTTTGTTTGTGAAAGATAGTGCTTGTGAATATCTCCTTAATAGGGAAGTTTTCTTTGTCACGGCTGATCTTTTCCTTCAAAAGTTAACCCAGTATCAAATTGTAATGGAAACATACACACACCCTTTTTTGACTAACCAGCTTATCCAAGGTTCGCCTTAATAGTGAAAGGGTCTAAAGATGAAATGTGACTTCTTGGCATCACATTTGCATTTATAATTTCTGAGTAAGTATCTGACTTACTTTCAATCCTCAGTCAGCTTCCTTGCTGCATTCCCAGAAGCTGATAGATACCAGTAGCGCATCTTTGGAAATACACTCCCAATAGAATATGTGAAAGTTGAGTGCTCAGTTGATGTAGTCATTCTAAGCTTGTTTTTGACGTTGCATTATAATCATGCTCCATTTACCCTTTTGAGTACCAAAAAAATCTTATGTACAGGCTGTGAGACATAGGTAGAAAACTGTGCAATTTGCCAGTTTAGAAGACAGGGTAGAAAAATCAAGAAAGCAGAATGCTTTTAGGTATCTGCTAAATTTCCTCCAGATCAAAGTAAATGTAAGCTTCTAGGCAGTATCTCTATTAACTGATTAAAGACTGGATGTGGCACAAACTATATTAATATTTACTTGCTTATTAAAGGTTGAAATTTTTCTAACACTATGGTATTGGATACAAAAATACACAATAGCTATTACGTAAGTAAAATTACAAAAATACTATTCCCCTCAAGTTTCAAATTTAATTGATTTGGAGAGAATAAGTGAAATTATATATATATATATATATATATATATATACATATATATATATATACACTAATATATATGTGACTGTACCAATGAGCAAAGAGTTGCATTTCAGGATGGAAGTGAAGAAATGATTCTTTTTCTCATACTGTGTATATGTGTATGTGTATATGTACATGAACACTAGATTGTACTGCAAACATACATAACTGTACAAGTATGCATGTTAATTTTTCTTCAAATATATATGAAGCACCCTCTATTTCTCTTCATAATAAGTCCATTTTTGAGGTGCTCACCTTGAAATAAAGCTATGACTATCAACTATAGTTATAGTGAATATTCCATATTCACATAGGATTGTTATCTGATGATACAATGAATTCTTAATTTTTGAGTAAGCGCACACAATCAGGACATTCAGGAAAATATCTTGTCAGACATAAGTACTGTAAATGTATCATAATCTTTTTGGATTGTTTCATACCCCTTACTGTTCCTTATGTGTCCTCCTTGAATGAAGTTGTAGAAAACCAATGCAAGACTTTAATTAAAATATTAGTTTAGTGTGCTTAATACCACAAAAGCATTCATCGGAACATCCTAACATTATTCTATACGATAACATGCCTCATGGAATAATTATATTAATATAATTATATTAGCTATGTCAAGGTGGCACTGCTCACCATCTGGAACTCCCCCAGAAATTATATGATCAGTTGCAATCATTTCAGTAACTTAAATTTTAATACAAAACTATAAAATCAATTTCAAAAAAATTTCTGCATATACCAAAAATGTCTGAATGAACTATAGGCCTTTAAAAATATAATTTTCTATTAAATAGAAGGTAGCCAATAAAATTGGAAAATATTGATCTTACCTTTTTTTTTCTGCAAAAGGGAAACTAGAAAAAGACTTCTTCCCACAGAAAATTTATTAACAGTGTTCAATTAAAGGTTTTTAAACAATGAACAACATTTCCTTTCTTATAAATAGTCAGGGGAAAGATATTTTTAAATCTTTCTTTTTCTTTTTTCATAGCCATAATAACACAAGAAAATCTTTTGTAAAGACACCACATCTGTGATGTGCTATTCATTGTAGATGTACAGAGGTCAATGAAAATTAATTTTACAAAAAACCCCAATAAATTAGAATTCTAGCCAACTTCCTATTCACATGTACTTAGTAAAAACCTATCCAATTATAAAACGAATTGCCATTTCTTGACAATAGTTGGAAACTATTTTTAAAGGATCAGCATCAAACAGTTTCTACCACCCTTTGGACAATCAGTTGAAACTAGGAAACAAAGAACATTTAAAAATATAAATGGAATTAACATTAACCATGTTATGATATTCAACTGTAAAAGTGATAATAAATATTGTTGTATTAGAGTAGAATTGTATTGACAATTATAAATCAAAATTTCCAAGACTATTAACTTGTAATACATGTCATCCATTACTTTCCCTCAAAAATACAAATATAACAAACAAAAAGGAAGGGAGCAAAAGAAGAAACAGGAAGACCGACCTCAACAGCACATAGTGATTTAATTGGCTAGGAAGTCCAAATGCTAATACTTCTAATAATTAGCCATTCCTTTTGTGTTTTGGTAACAAATATCCTCATACAATGTACATCAAATGGGACTTTTTGATTTACATCTGACATTTCAAAGTTTCCATTTTTGAACTCCCCTAGTGTTATGTAAGAATTGCATTGTCTTTGGTGTTGGACACCCATTTTTCGCCCAACATCTAGTGTTCCATGATGCAAAATGTCATTTTGTCGATCCTCACTTCCAGTAGTCACTTTAATTTTTTTGATTACAATGGGATGTTGAAATACAATGATGAATGTGTCTCTCCTTGAAGGCGGCTTGCCCCAGAAGTACTCATCAACAGTGCTATAGGCCTTGCTTGCGTCATAATTCTCAAACACATTCATATTGGTGTAGAGACTTGCAGGGGGATTGTCAGGGATGTCGAAGGATTCCTCTTCGAAGTCATCATCTTTCAACTTATTCTCAGTTCCTTTGTAGGATGAATAATAACCCATGTGCTGAAAGAGAGATGGCTTAAATCGGATCACATTTTTCTGAGTAAGTAGTCCCCGGAAATGAGTCAATAGCCAGTCACAAGGCATTTCTTGATAAAACATTAATAAAAAATGTGCCAGGCGTGGGAGATCATGAGAATGATAGAGTTTCCCAATGTAGCCAAGCTTAGAAAATTCAAGGGTTACCCAGTAAGTTCCTTCCAAAGATGCAATGACTTTCTTGATAGTAGTTAAGAAATTTTTGGCACATCGAACATCGTCTTCAAGCATCACGTAATAGTCTGACGTATTGGCACAAAAGTTAAGCAAAAAAGCATAATCTACATTTTGCTTGGAACGGAACCTGACTCTATCTTCTGGATCATTGTAGTTTCTTTTAAGACCATCCAGAACAGGGTAATATTCCTCAGGAGCATGTATAACCATTAATCTTCCTGCAATAATATGATGAGCAAATTTCTGTGTAATATCATGGACCATAAGATCACGCCAAGATGAATTAAAGTCTGCTAGAAGAACCACTACTGATATTTCCTTCAATTCTTCATAGCTGGACTGCTCAAAAATGGATTTGATTGTGTCAAGTAAATAACTTCCTTTTTTTCGTTTCACTGATGAAAGTCCAATTGTTAGATACCCTAAGCAAAATAATTCAAAAGGAAAACAAATCATACGGGAAATAATTTTGAATAAGTTAGAAATACAAAGGGCTTAACATTATTGATAATTCCTACATAAAACGTATAGTGTCTAATGCACAAGTATACATGGCATATTTCTGTCAATATTTGTTTATGAAAACAACAAATATGGGTTAAGGTTGCTGTTTTTACTCATACTGATAAGTGAAGTGGTATGAATGTTTAAGAAAGCATACATATTTAGGTAACAGACATGTTTAGGTAACACATATGATGAAATAACACACATGTTTATGTAACACTGTTCAGGTAACATGAAATATTTTATTATTTATTTTATTTTATTTTATTTTACTATCAGTTGTGAGGACTGAACTCTGGGCCTGGGTGCTGTCCCTCAGTAATTCAGCTCAAGGCTAGCACTCTACCACTTGAGCTATAGTTTCATTTCTGGCTCTTTCTGCTTATGTGGTGCTGAGGAATCGAACCCAGGGCCTCATGCATGCAAAGCAAGCACTCTACCACTGAGCCACCTTCCCAGTCCACATAAAATATTTTAAATAGCAAAAATAGAAGGGAATTCACATGGCTGAAAATTTAATTTCAAATAATGAAAAGGGAAACTAACTTATTTTAGAAATCTCTAAGTTTTCCATATATAATATTTCATTTGTCTTTGATTAATATAATGAACTTGCAGCAGGGAATTCATAGCTAGAGTTCACAATTATATTACAAACTTTACCTTGTCTATTAATGAGGAAATAATACAATAAGATATTAATTACAATCTTATTACTGCTTAATTATGTATTTCATTATTTAAAAACATAATAATGATTTATTTGTTTTAAAGGACATTTCATAAGTAGGTTTGGCTAGTGGAAGTTTTATGCAGACATTTAAAAATCGGAAAGTAGAAACTATATGCTTTTAATGAATAAAATGACCGAATAAGGACAGTTGATTTGAGAAGTCTCTAACATTTTGTATATTTTAATATTTCTAAAGATCTTATTCTTATATGATTCAAAGCTCTACAAAATTCTTGAATCAACCTTAGTAAAATGAGTAAATGTTTATATGCAAAAAGATCATTAATTTAACATAGACAACTGCAAGTTATAGTGATTTCTATAGTACTGAGAAAGCTCTTCAAAGTACCACTTTTCTTACACATTGTTCAAATAGCTTAGCTTACCACTCTGACTTCTACTGAACAGTAATATGTGATATAGTAGCATGGTTAAATTGTAAACCACTAAGTTTTACTACTGTTCAATAATAGGATGCACTCACAAAAGGCAGTCTACATAAGAATAAGTTTATAAAACTTATTTGTCAGAGCATTTTGAATGCACCTAACAGTCTTTGAGATAAGACACCAATTGCAGATAAGGAAAGGAAGGCCTGATGTGATGAGCTGGGCTTCCATAAGTATAATGGGACCCAAGAAAGAAGTTGTGATGCTACTATCCTTTGTGTAGTATTGCAGTTATAGAGCAAAGAAGGTGCATTTCTGCCCACACATATTAGTAAGTGTATCATGAAAAGGGGAATGAAAAATATTTCAATAAGGGAAGACTAATAACAATAGCAATTTGAAGTAGAAAAGTAAAAGTAAAAGGAACCCAAATTAACATTACTGTACTCAACCTGAGAATTATGACCTCTTCTGTATAAACACTTTTTACAAAATGAAGTTTTTATGTAGTACGTATAACCTACTTAAAAGTTCTATTTCAAAGTTCTATCTAAATGGTATCATTGCTATTTTATTAATTATGATAAGATTCATATTTATCACATGGAGATATTAAAAATTTGTGTTGTCTATTACAACTTATGTTTTAAAATTAAAATGGAAAATGTGTTTACTTTCTTAGTGTTCTGTGAATTATTTGTACTTTTTATAAGTTAGGGAGTTAGGAAATCTGAAATATATTAGGCTATGCCTTCGCTCAATTTTCTTTTTTCCAAACTAATGCCTGTTTCATGTACACCTGAACGAATTTCAGAATCTTCATGACCACTTGAAAGATTTCCATCCTTTATTAGGATGTACTCTAAGAATGTTACCTTATTAGGAAGCAAGGTATATACTGATATAATTAGTTTAAAATAGTCTTAAAATATATTATTCCACTGAATTTTTAGATAGCCTTTAGCACTATTGCCATTTTCACAATGTTAATCCTCCTAATCCATGAGCCTGGGAAGTTTTTCTACTTCCTTAGTTCTGCTTTAATTTCCTTTTTCAGGTTTTTGAAGTTTTCATCATAGAGTTCCTTCACTTCTTCAGTTAATTTCTAGTTTTTTTGTGTGGGGCTATTACAAAAGGGGTTGCTTTCCTGATTTCAGCTGTGCTCTTCTCATGATTGGCATACAGGAAAGCTATTGTTTTTTTAGGGTTAATTTTATATCTTGCTACTTTGCCAAAGTTTCAAATCAGCTCGAGTTTTGGTACCCTGCTACATTTGTCTCATTTGGGGAGGGGAAGGGGAATAACAAAACGCTGAAACAAGGACATAGGCTGACCCATTGCAATGAGGATACTCACAACACAGAATATTGGAAATGAACATTACAACTTCGGGGTGCAGGGAGGAGTAGGGGAAGTGGGGGAGGCAAGGAACAGTGGAAGAACAAGGAGGGGGTAACAATGCTCAACAGGAAAAGTACTCATTGCTTTACTCATGTAACTGTCACCCCTCTGTATCTTTACAATAAAATACAATTTTAAAAAATAAACAAAAATTGAAAGAAAAAAATATATTACTCCAAGATTTCAATGTGGGCTTTCAATCTGATAATCAGTGTCATTACAAGAATGGGAGAGGACAAAGGAAGAAAACAAAACCATGGGTGATGGAGATATGGACTTAATGTACACTACCATGAACCAAAGAATGTCAAGGGTCAACCGGAGATGGAATGATGGAAAAGTCAAGGAAGTTTTGAGAAAAATGTAAAACCACTCTTTCTCTCTCTGTCTCTGCCTCTGTCTCCCTAGATGTCCCCCTCCCCATACACTTGAAAAAAATCACATATTCTTCAGACTAGGGAAACAGAAGGCATGATATCATAGTCACTTAGGTCACTTTCTGTCACACCGTGGAGACAGCATGGAAAAACCTATCTTCTCTTATTGCAGTTCTTACTTGAATTGTGTTGTTCTTGTCAACTGAGACAATCGCAACAGCCGGCTTGCTATACATTCCTTCTATTTTCTTTCCTATCTTTTAAGCCCAGGTCTCTTGACATCATCTGAGAGAAGACAAATTTTAGGTGGCTGTGATTTTTTTCCCTCCCACCTCTAGGTGATTGTCCATATAGTGGCTCAATGTTCAATCTAATATTCTCGGTTTTCTATCTTGAGTGCTTCAAATGGCCTGTTAGGTTAGAAGATTCTAGCTTAGAATATTGAAAGGAAATGTGAACCTGACAGTACTTTGATCTTAACTCTGGATTCCAAAACTATATTTTTAAACCATCTGGTTTATAGGAGTTATAAAAGTCCTATAAAATAATACTCTAAATATCAGTACTTCAAAACTGTCAGCAGGTCATAAAACCAAACCTTCAGTTCAAAAATATAGGAATTGTCATTCTGAAAAGTTATAAATTTTAATTTAAAGTAATTTTTATGGTTCCTTATCTCCTATTCACTTCAAAAAATTGTTAAGATGTTACTAAAATTTGGCATTATTTTTCTGTTAGAATATTTGCAACTGATGAAGCCATATTGAAGTCCTTCTTGAAGTATATATTATGGTAGTAAATTTCATAAAATTTTTATTGCTATTGAAATGGAGCTATTGTTTTCAAACAAAATATTTTATGCAATATCCATTTAAAAGTATAAGGATACTTACGCTTTCTTTGTAAAGGTGTGGCAGCTAGGTAGCGGTAGGTGACATTTATGGTTCCTGAGAAATTAGATAAAACCTTGAATGTGTGAACATAGCGTTCTGAATTCAGCTGATGTGTGGATGTTTCCCTTATTAGTTGCTTGTCGCCTTCCTAAGTGCCAAGAAATAGACAGATAAAATAAATAAAACTATTTTCTCTCATATGTGAAAGCTAGAACTAAAACTAAAACTAATTTGTAACTGTACAACTAAATACATATGGAGTTGGATAAAATGTATGTAAATGTACTAACCAAAAGATGGCATTTGCAGGGGAGAATTCTTTCTTTTTTATTTTTATTTTGCACTGCAGAATTCAAGTGTGAGTGTGTGTGTGTGTGTGTGTAGCCTAGGACATTACACTTGTTAGGCAAATGCTTTGTTGTGCTATACAAATTCATAGTCTAACAAAATGAATGCCAGGAAACTGGCAATTGAAAAGTGGGGGAGGTGTCAAAAGGAAGGATTTAGACCAATAAAGACAGAAAAGGAAGGAGTCAGAAGGCAACCATAATATTCTATGAAATTAAGAAAATTGAGGAAAGGAGATGGATTGGGAGGGATGTGGAGAATGATGTGACATTGATAAGAATGCATTGTACTTATAAATAAATTTGTTCAATGATAATTTCTTTGTACAATTACTTGTAGTAAAAATATAATTCATAAATATGTAGATGGTCATGAATTAAAGATAGTTTGCTCCTTACATTAAGAAAATATGAGTCTTAGTTTTAGTGTGGATAATTATAGAAATCTCAGTTATTTGCACCATGAGGTAAAAACCATCACTATTCACTTGTATTCCTGTAGTAGTATGTGTTATCCTCTCCTGTATTCCATTCTTGTTTTTGTTCTGTTCTGTTCTGTTTTATTTTTGATCATGGGGCTTGAACTCAAGGCCTGGTCACTTTCCCTCAGCTCTTTTGCTCAAGGCTAGCACTCTACCATTTTGAAGCAAAGTGCCACTTCTGGTATTATGGTGGTTAAATAGAGATGAGTCTCATGGATTTTTCTGCCTAGGCAGGCTTTGAGCCACAGTCCTCAGATCTTAGCCTCCTGAATAGCTACAATTACAGGTGTGAGCCACCAGCACCCAGCTAGTCTATTGTTTTCACTAAATCAACTTATATTTATTTATTTATTATTGTAAAAGTGATATACAGAAAATTTTAAGTATAACCTTATTGAATCAAAATCTATTCTTGTCTTTTACATGTGTGTATATATATCCATTTTCTATTTAAGAATATTTTTGTGCTTTATATTATTTTCAATATTACTATACTATTTATTATATCATTTATTAGTTTGGATAATGAAAGATTATTTTTCAAGATTTATACCATATTTGTCATTTGTAAAATGACACAAAGTCAGGTAATCAGCACACATGAATAACAGCATTCTCTTTGGTCTACATAAAAATTCTTGCTGCTTTCATGTTAAAATTCAAATGTTTATATTAATGAAACATTTAAAACTTTATGTTAAAATTCAAATGTCTATTGTATTGAAGCATTTAAAATTAAAAGCAATTAAAAGCATTAAAATCTATTTTAGCATTTCCTATAATTCTAGTTTCTACCAAATTTGCCACTTTCAAAAAAGTTAGAGGCTTTCAATTCTAATCTATTTACTCTCCCACAAACACTGTCAAATAATAGACCAACCATATTCCCATGATGGTAAATTGGAATAGTCAGAATCGTGTGAAATTTAGAAAAAGTTTTATTAAGGACTTTATGTAATCACATAATTGAAAGCTCCAGTCTTGTGGCATTTTTAAATGTCCAACAACCTCCAGTAGGATACATTTGTTCCACATCAAGAGATGTTGCCTTAGTTATTCTTATAATATATTTACTTTTGTAACATATTTGCTCAAGTGTGTTTGTGTGTCTGTAGTATTCTGTTGAAGGTAAAATATGGACCCACTTTATTTAAGAGAATTTTTATTCATTAGATAGTTGACATTTTATGTGAAAAAACAAAAGAAAGGAAAACACTAGGTATCAATAACTTACATTTTTCTCCTTTGTTTGATATTGATATAATGGTAAATTTTTATTATCCAGTCACTAGTTGATTAACTATAGTTACATGTACTTAAGAAAATGATGCCTAGTTTGTCTTATTTATATGGTTATTAATATATATTTGAGACAAACTAATGAGGATGAGAAAAATTTGTAATGTTTTCTACTTTCTGCATGTAGTTATGGGGATCCATTTCTATTACAAAGTATAGAAGATAAAACCAGATGTATGCAAACCATTAACACAACAGAATGAACGAATATATTATATATTTAATCTTAGTATTATTTATCTGTTGTCACTTAAACTTTTGATGAACCACTGTTCTAAAAGACTGGGTAAGACTCAAACATAAACATCAACATAAATTGACTGGTACATTCCATTACATAGTCTGATTTGGATATGAAAATGATTATTAAATTAATATTTATATCAGTGTCCAAACTGAAATTATCTTAGAAAAGAAATAGAAACTATGACTAGAAATGTAAAAGATTTTTAATTACTAACCTTATTGAATCAAAATCTATTCTGATTGTCTTTTACATATATACCCACTTTTATTTAAGAATAATTTTGTTTTATACTATTTACTATCATTTATTAATTTGGGTAATGAAATATTTTTTTCAAGATTTATACCATGTTTGTCATTTGTAAAAGCTATAGACTTTCAAAATACCTGACAATTAAAATCCAGATCTGAAATGTATTATACATATATCAATGCAATATTCACTGTTTATTACTTGCATTTTTTACAAATATTTTCATTTATTTCTGTCAATAGACTTATAAGAACGATTAAATTTGTAAAAAAAAACAATTAGGATTTCCCAAAAGTAACTAGGCATGCAATTAAGCATCAACTGCTTTAACAGTAATGTAATGGTATAAAGGCTAGAAGAAGTTTTATAAAAATCATAATAGTCACAATACTGGATTCATTTTCACATACTGTTTTTATGTGAAGATATATTCTGAAGAAGTTACAAGATATTGAATGTCTGTCTCAGAATTCTATTTTGAACATGAAAAATTGAGGCCTTTTCTGTGAGAAGATCACAGAATGACATACCTGCATGAAATGGGATTAATTAAATTCCCAAGAACAAGCTTCTTTTCACTTTCTATGTACACAGGTAACTCAGCTATCATCTGAATCAGCTGGGTTGGCTGCTTCCAGAAGCATCTATGTGAACAGCCATGATCTCCTTAAATACCTTCTTTCTTTATCTACTATAATATAGTGCATTTCTCAGTAATAAGACAAGGCTTTATGACAATCACTTTTCAGGATCAAAATATAATTCAATGGACTAGGGACAGGTCCTCTCTCTCTCTCTCTCTCTCTCTCTCTCTCTCTCTCTGTATATAAATGCTGTTCTGAAGATACTCATATATGAAAAGCTGAATTGGTTGGGCATGCAAAGTTTATTCTTTTAGTATGTCTTGTAATAGTATTTGTCTCTTCCACTAATCTTGACTTCTCCTCTGATTGAAAGTTAAATATCTCTAACACATGACATATACTAAACTATTCATATGTCTATAACTCGCGGCCTCAATTTTCTAGCACAATTAATAGACCAGAATATGCAAAGGTACTCCAGGGACATCAATACTTCTGTCCATCTGATTTCTCTGAAGTGTAGTTATTATTACTCAGTAATATCAGGGCGACAGAAAAATAAACCCTAGTAAACCTTATGTTTAAAACTTTTATTCACTGTAAATTATGGAAGTAAGACAAAAACATAAATGAGAGCCACAACTGTTAAAAAGTAACTTCATTATATTACAGTATGAATTTGTCAGAGAGTATATAATTTAGGAAAATATTTTAATGAAATTTAATTTTAACAATGAACAGAATGTTTCAAATCTTTATATGTAGTGAGTCGTGATAAAACTCAACTTACAGTGAACTTTAGATTGAATTTTCTAGAAAATTGATCTTTAATAGAAATTATTTTCTTTATGTCTTTTTTACATTAGCTAGCATACACAAATACATAAGACTGGAAATAGTCACAAAATGGAGTGTTTGGTTTTCTTATTGATATGTACTAAATTTTCTTACTGATTTCACATTGAATTTAAAGGAGTTCATTCACGAAAGCTCATGTTTTATTACAGTAGTTTCTGATAAAATTTCACTTGAAATTTTACTTGAAATCATGGAATAAAATAAGTATTCAACATATAGCACTTGCTTGATTTACACAACTTGGTTTAGAAAAAGATAAAAAGAATAAATGTTTATTAAACAACTGAATCACTATAAAATCTTGAATATATAATCTAAATTCCATTAAGAAAAAAAATAACTTGATCACATTAGCCCTGTTCTATAATGCTGTTTCATAAACCTAAAGGCTAGGTTAGAAAATATTCTAAAATACATATCCATAGTTCCTCCACTTAGTGATTTGCTTAAATCAAATTCTGTTACCCCATGGTAATTTTAGCTATGGTGGATTGATTATACATGGTAGAATGGAAGTGATCTAAAATTAAGTGTTTGGGTTAGAGGTAAAAATTTTGTGCCATATTAATATCTAGGGTTCTGAATAATTTCATCATCAAAAAATGGAGCTTTTGAAAGCACGATGCTTTATGAAGGACTTAGAAGGGGAATCTCTACAAGCTAAAATTATATAAATAACGTTTTCCCACAGTCATTGGGCTTGAATTCAGGGCCTGGATGCTGTCCCTGTGTTTTTGTGTTCAAAGCTAGCACTCTACCATTTGAGCCATAGCTCCATTTCCAGCTCTTCGTTGGTTTATTGAAGATAAGAGTCTCATGGACTTTCCTGATTGGCTGGCTTTGAACTGTGGTCCTCAAATCACCAGTGCCTGGCTTTCTATGACTTTTAAGTTATAGCATGCTTAATAAAATAAACATTCTATTAGGAAATAATCTTCCAGATTAGTGTTGAGTTTTTGAAATAACAATAGCATAATAATCATAATAGCATACAGATTAGGAAGATATCTATGCTCAATTTACATTTAAAAAAATAAAACATAATATCATATAAACACCAGACATATAATTATATAATGTTTATAACAGTAAAAACAAAAATAACAGCAAGGAATGTTTGATTTCTCTGAATTAGCCAGGAAAGTCCTTTTGTGGATTTCTACATTTCATATAAGATATAAATTCATATAACAGTATGTGCTAATTTTTCTTATTTATGTTTAACTATAGGACAGTTTGCATGCAAAATCTACCTTTTGAAATATTTTCAATTATAACACACATATATTCAAATTCAGAATCACAAAGAAGAATCAATCACACATTTAAAAATATTGCTTACATGAAATAGCAAAATTTTGAAAATTTCAACAACATAGGAAAGCAGAGAAATAGGAGTAACATTTCTTTAGCAAATTCAAACTAATTCAGCATAAAACAGCTAATCCTTGTAATTACATGTATATATTTGAGACACTATGTACAGAAACTCTCAGAAGATAAAATCTGTATCATGTTGATAATCCATGTAAACACAATAAATAAAGATAAAACCAGATGGTATATTAAATACCTATATCTCAACATTTGAGAGACAATAGCAGGACAATTAAGAATTTAAAGTCAGCTTAAGATAGAGTGATTCAATCTCAAAACAACAATATACAAAAAAATACATGAACAATTTTCTCAAACAAAGGCTACTATAGAAGCTTGTAATTAAAGTTAAGATCATAAAAGTAGGTGGACTTTGGCCTTATTTTGAATAAAAAAAATCTCAAAACTTACCAGAACATAACTATCTTCAATGTACAAGTTCATAAATAAGAGGAAAATGACGAGAACTCCCAAGAATGAAACTGTAGAACGTTTTCGCAAGCATCTCATTTTATCCAATATTTGAAAAGTATGTTTTATTTGATGAAATTTAAACATTCTCCCCTGTAGAAAAGAGGCACTCATTAATTTTGGATTTGACATCGGTTTATCATGTGTATATGTGTAATAAATGTAACATATTGCAATATAATATGTAATATAACCTTTCAAATATTTTAGCTAAAATTGGTTCAAGTTTAGTTTATAAGGATACAAATATCATTGACTGTATTGTGAAATGTATTGCATGGGCCTACTAAGAATAATTTGACACAGCTGATACTTATAGAAAAATCAAAATGAAAAGCATATCAAATTAAAATCCAGGGAATAAAATACAAAGTAGAAAGTATCATCAGCAGAGTACAGAACATAGGGGATAGAATTTCAGGACTTAGAGATAGATTAGACCTAGTAGAAAGAGTAGAAAAAGAAGAGATTGAAGAAACATAAAAAAGGAATTTACATTCCATTAAAAGACCGAATTTGTAAACTATGGGTGCCTGGAAGGGGAAACAATATTTACTAAAAGCACAGGAAACTTATTCAACTAAGCAAAGGGCACCTTTATTCCTGAAAAAAGCCTATTTGAGTACGAGAGTCATTTAGAACACACACAACATACTGTACTAGAACATCTCCATGACATACTAAAATTAGAACAGTGAGCATCCTAACCAAGTAAAAACTATTGAAGGCTATAAAAAAATTATGAATGAAGCATATCAGAATAACAATAGATTGCCAAAGAATAATTTCTAAAATGGTTCTTACTTTAGAATTCTCCTATTCCAATATTATTTCTAATATTTTTTTATTTTTCAAGTGTTCATAAATTCTTCTATTAATGCATCATGCTACTTGCAAACATCACTAGGAATCTGTCTGAAGTTTTAAGATTCATACATTTTTCATTTCCTGAAGTCCTTCCTACACATAGTTGTTTTATTCTGAAGATGGACCCAGGTAAAGGAGTCTAAATTCAAACTACTTAGTACCCCTAAGTAAAACCTATCATGTTTTGTAGAAAAATATGGTTTATTAACAGAACAAAACCTTTCAAAAAGAAGAAAAATCAAGAAATGATAGAATTAAAAGTGATTTATATTACCACCCCTATTATTTTGACCCATAGGTTGAAAATGGAGGAAAACAGAAATGATGTGATAAATGAATGCCAAAAAATGAAAATAGAACTTTGGAGATGAAAACTATATACCATCCGAAATTCAAATTCACTTGCTGGTAATATTTACACATATTACCAGCAACGACAGGAGATCTGACAATAGATCTACTGAAAGAATAGAAAGAAAGAAATGCAGTCATTTTATCCCACTACTCCCTAAATCATGACCCAAAATTAAGTGATTTAATAAATATTTAAGGCACTGAGTGTCAAAGTAGCATCTTAAGCAACAATAGATAACAATGTAGTTGTCAACAGGAAGTTCATTATAGATATAAAGATTGATGGATTAATAATAGAAGATAAAGGAAAGATAAACCATAAAAACATTAATCAAAAGTAGCTTGGAGTATACATTAATGACATCTAAATTAATAATTGATCAATTTGTCAAAGGGAGCATAGCTATCCTAAATATAATGAATACAAATATAAATATATAAATATAAAATATAAATGAAGCAAAAATTGATAAAAATAAAAAGTTCAAAATTATGCTTAAAGATTTTAATATTCATCCATCATTAATGTGACAAGACAAGTAAACAGAACATCAGTAAATATAAAAGATATTTACAAGTCTATCATAGAAATTAATCTTGTTTGTGTTTAAGCAATGACCCATCCAACAGTGCAGCTCTTTTAGGTACATACAGAACATTTACCAATACAGAATAGTTTGGGTCATAAGTCTCCTGAATTTAAAAATACTAAAATTATAAGTATATAACATAATAATAACAAAAGTGCATTAGAAAGGTCCTAAAAGCTCTCAACCAGTTGGAAATTAAACACACTACTGATATACCCTGAGTTCCAGTATGGATCAAATGTACTAGGGAAATAGTTCAAACTGAATGAAGTTGAAACCTACAATACACACACTTTAAGTTTGATGCAAGCAGTGCATACTTAAGTAGAAGAAAACTTCAATGTTAGATGTTTATGTTTGAAATAAGAAATGCCTATCATAAATTATATGGGTTTTAACATCAAGAAGTTAGCAAAATAAGAACCTAATATGATGATATTTAGTCTAGTTCCAATAATCAGGAGTCAAAAGCAAGAAAACTGAGTTTGAGGTCAGTCTGTGCTATATAGATCAAGATCAGAATGAGCTAAATGGAAAGAATCTATTTCAAAATATCATGGGCCAAGGACAAAGGCCAATGGTAGTGCCTTTGCTTAGTATTCATGAGAATCTGGGTTTAATTCCAGACACTGCCAAAGATAACAGAATAAAAATGAAAGAATAAGTGAAATATTGAAGACTAAAAGAACAGAAAAACTCAATGCAATGCTAGTTCTTAGAAGATCTCAGTAAAATTATGTCTCTAGAAGATCTCAGTAAAATTATGTCTCTAGTCAGATTAATGGAAATCAACAACAATAAAAGACATAGTTACTAAAGTCAAGAATAAAATTTTATCTGGGTGCTGGTGGCTGATGCCTGTAATTCTAGCTACTCAGAGGCTGAGGTTTGAAAATTGAGGTTCAAAATTAGCATGGACAGGAAAGTCTGTGAGACATTTTACCTCCAATTAACCATCAAAAAGCGGAAAGTATGGTAGTTTAGAGGAAAAATTCTGAAAGACAGAGTGCAGATCTTGATTTCTAGTTCTAGTAATGGCATACACACACACACACACACACACACACACACACACAAATGCCTCATCAGTTACTCTGCAGCCATTGTCACTGGATCCAAGCCATAGGCTTACTGTAAATTCTGGCTCAATATTCCATGTGTAATTCAAAAAGGCTCTCCCTTACCATTAATTTAAACTACTTTTTTATTGTGAAAATACCATACAAAGGGGTTTCAATTACATGAGCAAGGTAATAAGTACATTTCTTAACAAGCATTGTTGCCTCCTTCTTTTGTTTCCCATCCCTTACCATCCTTTCCCATCTGCCCCGCCCCTCCGGCCTCCCCAAGCACCAAAGCAAATTTTGTTTTTCAAAATAATGTCTTGAACATCTCATTGTTGCAGTGGGTCCACCTGTATCCCTATTTAAACAATTTCTTTTTTCCAGTAGATGAATGGATCAAGAAAATATCATATACATACACAATGGAATTCTATGCCTCCATCAGAAAGAATGACATTGCCCCATTTGTTAGGAAATGGAAAGTCTTGGATAAGAATATATTAAATGAAGTAAGCAAAGCCCAAAGAAACATAGGTCCCATGGGGCTGGGAAGGTGGCTCAGTGGTAGAGCGCTTGCCTTGCATGCATGAGGCCCTGGGTTCGATTCCTCAGCACCACACAAGCAAAGAAAAAAGCCAGAAGTGGTGCTGTGGCTCAAGTGGTAGAGCGCTAGCCTTGAGCTGAAGAGCTGAGGGACAGCGCCCAGGCCCAGAGTTCAGGCCCCATGACCAACCTCCCCCCAAAAAAAACATAGGTCCCATGGTTTCCCTTATTTGCAATAACTAGTATATGTCTGAGACAAACAGAATCCCCAAGATAAGGACTCAAATGGTTTTCCTTTCTTGCTATTGTTTCTAATATATTTAAACTACTTTTTATATTTGTATTATCAAGATATAACAATAATACTCAAGGAATTTGGGGCTTATAATTTTGTTGAAGGGACAATAAGCTTCTTATTTGTTTCGTAATTGCCATAAATTTTAATTTCCAGATTAAGTATGCAAAACTCATTTTCATATGATCTATTTACTTTAATCCTCTTTATATAAACACCTGAAGACTGAGTGCTAACAATAATCAAATAATCTTTTTTTCTTTTACATGAACATCCTAAGAGATGAATGAATTCTGCTTTATATCCTTTAAAGAAGTTGAGTTCTTGTCACATAATGTGAAATGAATCCTTCATGTTCAATGATGCTGTGAGTAAAAATTTAACATTTCTTACTTTTTTTATCATATATTATTCACCCAGCTATTAATCTGTGCTACTTTTACATTATGACATTACATTGTAGCTGTCCCCTAGAGTGCTGTTATTTTGTTCTTCACTGACAAAATTCTCATCCTCAACCAAAATTTGGTCAGGCTCCACCAAGCTCTAATCTTGATCTAGACTTCATCTACCTAGTTTCAAGTGTGTTTATTCATATTCCAGCTACCCCTTTCTTCATATCTCTTTATGTTTTCCAGTACCTAATTAACCTACTGCTCCAAGTATTTTATCAATTTCCATAGTCTTCCATACAGTCACATCCGGATCCTGAGCTATACATTTGATTTCTTTTGCTGTGTTCAGAGTTGAGCTCAAATTCTCTCTTCACTGTGAAATGCCCTCTTCATAAATAATTGAAACCAGTCATAATGCAACTCATGATAAGTAGCCCAAATGAGTTTTTCTCTAACAGCTTTATTGTCATGATTTGGATACAATCAGATTTGCCATTGGATCTCTACCAGACACTCAAACACAAGCCTTTAAATACTTTACCTTCACTCCTGTTTGATTGATGATGAATACATTGATGATTTCAACTTCTGAGTTAGGGCTGAAGATGACAGTCTGTTGAGGCATATAAGGGAGAGATTTTGATTGTTAAGATTTTAAGTACACAGTCTATAAACTGTAATATAGCCCATCTGAATAGAAACTGAATTTGAAGTCTTAAGTCTCTATTTGTAAGAAGATGAGTTAGTCCTAAAAAGTTTGAAAAGTATCTTCTGTGCTAGAGGTCTGTTTTTCTGGCTCTTTCTGTCCCCAGTGTGAATTTACTGCTGCATTCCCAGGGATAGAAAACTCCTGGGTCTAGGTCCTTTATGGACTTCTCTCTTTTCTCTATTTGATCCTTTCTCCTACATGATTTTTCAGCCAACTGAAAAATCTTTTTTTTCCTAAAACTTTTTTCTAAAACTTCTTTCCACCAACTCTACATCTTTCTTCTTGTCAAATTATCCTTATTTGCAGATGATTTGATTCTATACTTAACAGACTCTAGAAACTCTATGAAAAAGCATCTAGATCAGATTAAACTTCTTAGGAAACTTAGCAGCATATAAAATAATACTTTCTGCCCCCAAATGCAGTATATAAAATAATACTCCCTGCCCCCAAATTCTTATATACTAATTCTAGGAAAGACATCAGGAAAGCTATTCCATTTGCAATAGCCTCAAAAACAACAAAACAGGGCTGGGAATGTGGCTTAGTGGTAGAATTCATGCATGAAGCCCTAGGTTCTATGCCTCAGTACCACATACACAGAAAAAGCTGGAAGTGGTCCTGTAACTCAAGTAGTAAAGTCTTGAGCAAAGGAAGCTCAGGGACAGTGTCCAGTCCCTGAGTTTAAGCCCCAGGACTGGCCAAAAACAACAACAACAACAACAATAAAACATATTTATGTATTAATGTAAATAATGAAGTGAAAGAACCTTTTAATAAAACCTCTAACACCTTAAAGAAAGTAATTGAAGAAGGCACCAGAAGATGGAAATTTTTCTTATGCTCATGGATTGGCAGAATCAATATCATGAAAATAGCCATACTGCCAGAAGCAATCTACAAATTCCCAATGTCAATAAACTGGAAATCATTTTTCAGATTGCTACAGTTACTGCCCATCCTTATTTCACTATATAAAGAATTCTTGAGCTAGCTAGTCTAAAAGTCATCCTAACTTGTCTCTTTATGCAATAAAAAATTTTGGATTTATGACTATTAATACTTGTTTTCTATTTTCACAAAAACTTACCCTTATTCTGACTATAGACATCAAGAAGCAAATACCTCCAATCTAACAAAATTTCTCAACGGATTAGTCAACAGGGTTTTTTTATTAAAAAAATCATCAAGAAATGTGAATATGTTGTTCAAAAGAAAAAATATTGTTTCTTCTTCTATATTTGAGAGACTAACAAAGAATCTTTCTGTGTTGGACAATTTTATAGGTCAAGTTCTGTTTTCCTGAGGAACACCTAAGTAAATAGTAAAGTTGTATTTTGATATATCTGTGTGTCTGGTGAAGATTAGTATCCAAGTTGTTAGCTGGAGAATGGTTGGATGGTGAATGAACACCATTCAGTTATTACAGGTGCAGATAGAACAAAAAAGCCAGAAAATGTTAATTCACAGTCTCTTGCTCTTGTAGCTCTCATCTTTTCTTAACTTTTACCATCAAAGCTCCAGACTTTCTGGTCTATGGCCTCTGAAACTTGGACCAGTTTCTCTTGTGGTTCAGACGATCTCTGATTTCAGGCGGTTTCCACATCCTGAGGTTCTAACTTATAGTCAGAAGCATCCTGTTACAAGATTGTTTGCCAAACTTTATTTTCTTAAAAATAAATTGTTTCACTGTTGCATTGCTTCTTGCATTACTGTTGGGACATCACATTCTACTTGATCTTGTCTTTTATGATTTAGAAAACATATATGGGTACATTGCATGGTTTAGAGGAATGTAAAATATATCTCTCTTGGATATTTCTTGACGTTTTCTGATGTTTTTCAAGTGTGCAGAAATTATTGGGTAAAGTTTAGCAGATTACACATTATTAGTTATACTTAATTGTAGACAAAATTTTTAAACAGATTAATGGAACATGATGTAAGAATACTGTGCATTCCAGACAGTGCAGAACTATAGCTATCTAAAAAATTGGAGATTCAATTAGAGACAGAAAAAATTTATACTACACTATTTAGATAATAGGCATAAATCAAAATGTATTATTTAAGACAGGTGACAGAAGCAAAAGAGATAAAATGATATTAGTAGCATAATTTAAAAAGTATTAGTAAAAGACAATCACTGAAACAAAGGAACAAAACATTCTAACCTAAGAGAAATATACCTGCAAAATTAATACATAAGAAAATATGTAAATACACCTTAGTTAAAAATAAATATTCTAACTAAGAGATGTGAGACAAACTCATCAGCAATATCAACAAATTTTTACAAATATATGATTTGGTGAACACACACACACACACACACATACACACACACCAACATACAAACCCTAACTCCTGGAGGCATAAATGAATCATATCTAAACCAAACTAAATCACAAAGGCTAGTGATAATAGAATAAACAAAGCGTGTTCATCACAGGAAATGAAAAATCATGATTTCAATACTGATTTAAAATACATATATGTATATGTATATAGAATACATTTGTGTATATAAATATATGTATATAATATGAATAAAATTCATATGTGTGTATGTATATGTATATTGCAAACTAAAATTCTCTGGCCCGAATACAAGTAAAATTGGTAGGCTTGGCTCGCTAAGACTTAATTATTATTATCTATGAATATATGGCCAAACATATTCATATATGAAATAGCTCCTAGAATTTTACATGTCTAAATGCAATTTGTAAATTTTAATGAGTGGGTAATACATATATTTGCTATTATACACATATAACTCATTGTATTTACTTACTTTGAAGCAAGAACTTTAGTGAGAGGATACTTTCATCTCTCACTTTTTTGATACTGGTCCTACCTGAATTCTGTTAAGTTTGTAAAGTACCACAAAAGAAAAATAGAAGGCTTTCTAATAAATGCCTTTCTTGGAAGTGGTGCTGTGGCTCAAGCAGTAGAGTGCTCTCCTTGAGCTAAAGAGCTGAGGGATAGTGCCCAAGCCCAGAGTTCAAGCCCCACGACCAATAAAAACAAATAAAACAAAACAAATTCCTTTCTCTGCTCCTCTTGTAAAT